ACTTACGGTGCCTACTGTTTGCTTGACTCAATTATTTTCATAAAAGAGGAAGTTTGTTTATTTGTTTATTTTGTTCACTATAGGAAACCAAACGGTTAAACTTACAAATTTTAAAATAACTTAATAATAACCAGTTTTTTACAAGAAATTTAATGGTGCTAATTATTTTGTATTTGGTATAGTATTTAATGACGAAATTGACAATTAATGATTATTGCGCCATTTTTTTGTAATAAACATACAAACATAAGCACGTTTAAATTCAAGTAAAACATCACATAAAACGTTTTGCAATTAGTGTAATTTAATTAGGTGATCTAGACAAAATAACTATAATAACGCAAGAAATAATGCATTTTAAGATGTTTGTTTGGCTTCAAACAAACGTAATGGTTGTTTGATCTGTGTCCGCCGCGTGAATCAATATTGTTACGACAGCGGAAGTCGCGCGATGCTGGGAACATGCGCGCTGGAGTTTCTAGAAAGATCATGACTTATCGAGGAACCTCGCAAATGTCCGAGTGTTTGCCAGGCGCCTTCGTTTTTAGTATATAAGCCCGGCAAATAAAGCCAGCGATAGATATATATGTAGATAGATTGAAGATAGAGTATAATATAGATAGATAGATTCTTCAAGATCTTGTTTTTGTCATCTTACGCCTTTTAATGAAACTATTTGCAAATAGTAACTATGGAGACGAGGTAATAAAATAAAAATCAAGTCGAGAACAACAACAAAATTTTATAAACGAAAACCTCTCGCCGAGCATTGGCTATTATATTATTTCCCTGTCAATGTTCCCATCCAATAATATTGTAGGTCCATTGTTCTTATTTCTATGCACCGTTATAACACATTTTCATCTCATCACTTAATTTCTGTTGTGCATATATTGTTGTATAGAAGATATTTTAAAGTGATTCATCAGGTGGAAAAAGAATGGATAGATAAACTGATATGTGGCGCCATCTAGTGTACTTAAATTCATCTAGAAATTTTCATAAAAGTGACCCGAAAAACTTGTTTTATTCTGTTTCTATTCTCATTTAATTACAAATATGGCGGCATTGTGCGCCGTTTTTGCTGTACTTAATAACAGACAAGCACACACACAAACAATCTCAGAGTTTTAGTAGTATATAGATATTATATGTTTCTTTTCACCAAAGGTAAAATTGGTAAACTGTTTTTGAAAAGTCCTAAATGCACAATCTTACTGCCCTTAGGGCACACTTTTGTCTCCCCCCCACATACACACAATTGCGGGGGCCTTAACCCGATACTCATACAAATGTGCTTATGTTTTTTAGGTTTATAACTTTTTTATCCCAAACTTTCAAGGCACAAACGCAGCTGAACCTTTTCCTTTTTTGTTATAGATTTTTGTGTATTTTAAAACTTTTGCAGATTAGCCTTCTCTGAAATAACTGGTACAAGGTCGGTATTGACACCGGCCGTTTACATTTGTTTTTGAAAAGTAGCAGAACATTAATGAATCAGTGTGATTACTCTGACGTTGTTCAGTGATGTCAGAAGTACGTCATTCCAATAATGATCGTTATGCTTTTTTTGTTGTTGTAGTAGCATTGTTACCAGTTGCCTAACTTTCACCTGCTACTGTGTGTGGGAAATATTTCAAAAGACAGAACTCTAATAAATTAGTTACAGTATAAAACATATTTCGTTTTAACCAGCAAAATTGAAAATTCTATTCGGTAATTTTCACACTAGAAAACACGCAGCGAGCATAATATTTAACGCTTAATTTTTACGAAAGTTTCAACACGACTAATTTTTAAAAGCATTTCGATCAATAATTTTACTGACAAAGAACTGAAATTATTTAAAACTTCACGTGCAACATCCAGATTTGAACAGTAATTTACTGAATATCGACCGTTATTATAAAATCTGATTACAACGTCTGGAGACTTCTATGGAGAAATACAGAAATGTAACCAACTTAAACTTATAAGAAATTCATGTACGTAAGCGCTTAATTTCCATATGATCCAATTTATCAATGTCAGATTAAATATATATATATATATAAGTTCTTCTTTCTGCTAATTGTCGAAATAAATGGCTTTTACTTATATTTCTTAATAGTATAAATATATACTATGTTGTTGGGTATAGGATTCTTCTATAGTAGGTGTCTGTGACTTGTTAGCGATAAATTCAACGATGAATAAACAGCACCCATTTTACTTGTTTTCAAATAATATATATATTCGGAACAAGTTCAAGGTATGTACAATAAAGTCTTTACACTATAGAGTGTTACGTCTCCCTTTGTTAATTGATTTTCCGTAACTTCGTTCCGACGAAACTTAAGCGACACAAGTCTTTACTTAATAAAACTGGTTTATTCTTTCCGAATATAACTCTGCGATACACTTAATCTCAATACTCGCGCTAAAACAAATACTATAACGAACGAACGTTAACTTCAACAATACCCCGTGACTGCAGTTCAATTACTCACTGTCTATACACACATTACCTTCTCCTCTTTTATATACCAGCCTACCCTATATCTAGTAATTACTAGAGCATTCGCCAAAGTACATGATAGTTCTAGAAACGTTGCGTCACAGTAGTCACGTGACTCGCTGACGCAACAAGAGGTTACAGGCATATCATAAACACTATTTATATATAGTTCTCTTCTTCTTGTCAAAAGCCCACTTAGGCCTATTCAATTACTTTAGAATTTCAGTTGACAAGTCGAACTATCTTCTCTATATTACTGTCGTACTAGTATTCTGTGTGTGATTCACTTACAGTGTAAGTTACAGTTGTGGCGCAAGTTACCGTAATTCGTTTGGTCTACTTTCTTCTGTTCCTTTTGTCAAAGTGTACCCAGGCTGATTCAATTACTTTAGATCCACGCTTTGACAGAATAAAATAATATTTCTTTATACTGTTAGTTTTACTCTAACATATTAAAAGTTAGGCCTATCACATCTACGGTACTTAACTTCACACAGCTATATTCTACTTTGCTATTATCTGTCTTTTGTTGTCTGTCTGCTGCTTCCCGCTCGTCTCACGCTATTTATATCTTTGTTACATTGTTATTTGGCTACTTTCTATATTCTCGACACCAAGTAGTTATTAACAAAACCTTCTACAATCGTCTGCTTTTAACTCTTATTATAATGAAACATAAAAATAATAAAGTATTCACTCACAAATAGAGATTAATCACTAATATTTAAACCGAACAGTCTTTTATATCATGACAATCAAATATGAATAAAAACGCAAAACAAAACTATAAGTGGTTAGTTAGAACATATATAGTGATGAGGATTTCATTTTACAGAATCTCCTTCGCATTAGCTATTCTTCACAAACAGAATACATCCATCCTATATTTCTTTAATATTAAAG